GAAAAGGTGACTGCACCTTCAGTGCCAAAATTGGACAACCGGGTAGAATTCAGATTGGGATTCTCAAACGAACTGCTGAGAACGAGTTTGATGATAGTGTGGGAACTGATGAAACCATCATGATGTCCGAGTCCCAATGCTCATTCAATATTACCTGCAACACAAGACGTACAGAGGGAACTGAACTCAGACTGTAATCTGCTTGATCTTAATATAACCTGATGACAACAGCCTCTAGGAGCAACGATGAAGACAAAGTAGAGTTGCCTGGCTGGGGACCAGAGGACTGGGTCAAACCTGGTAGCTGCCTGGCAGAAGTCTGTGGACTGGAAGGTCATGTCTGTGGAGGTCTGGATTGCGTAAAGACCTTGGAAAAACAACAAACGCAGTTGACAATTTTGTTTGTGAACATTGTGATGAAGACGAAGACAGAAACGAAACTAATTGCGGGTTGCCATGGAGGAACCGAAGGGAATCTAGTGACTGCACTAGGATTCTACAGCAAGTTTGGTTCTTTAGAGTCACTATTGAATCTAGAACTAAAGCATGAGATGGTCACGGCCATCAGTGTAGAAGTGTTCCCAGGAGTTTTGCAGACTGAGCAAAAACACATAGGAAGGTGGAGGGAAGCAATCGAGGCGGAAATGAACATCAGACACAGTGAGACTTATCGCAGACCGTCGGGAGCGCGATATTTGGTGGGATCGACATTAGCTTCAATGTGTAAGAGCAGATACCCAGCGCATATCGTAGCTGTGGATGTGAAAAGTACGAGAACGATCGTGGATCAAGCCTTCTCGGTGCAAAAATGCGTAAGACTAGCGAGAATGTCAGAAAAGTCTGACAAGTTACTGTGTAAGATGTTCGCAGCGGTTCCGGAGAGAACTAAAGAAGAGCTAGAGTCGATACTGGGAAAGAAGTTCATGGGATACGCCAGTGGGACTTCAGTGGTTTTGAGAGACAGAAGCAGAAAGGATCAACCGTCACGGATTACAATGCAGTAGATGAAAATGATGAAGTCCACCGAGTGATGATGGAAGTGAAACCGCTACTGGAAGCTTCGGGAAAGCGTAATTGGAGGAGCACCATGTCAACACATGATGATTTTACCTGCCATGGTGGTACCCCGGGCGTGGTAATCTAGTGTTGATCTGGGACTGCGGAGAGCTGCTCTCCATGGGTTTACCAGACTCATCACGGCCCATAACGATAGTGATAGTGGGAGTTATGATGGCGATACGATGGCTGGAAGCTCATGTGAAGGAGAATAATAGACAGGAGGCGCCAACGAGAGAACAATTGCAGAAATTGGATTGTCTAAAAGATTTAGATCTTTTTGAGACAATGTGCAAGATCTTGAACATTCCGATGGAAGTGAAAAAGATATGGGCCAGGAGACGTCTGATGCCATGGTTTAGAGCCAACATGACTGCATGGTTTTACGAATATGCTAAGAAGCATATGTCGAAGCACAGCAGAGTGTACAGTGCGTATCAACTGGACATTGGGGCAGGAGCTTTCAAGCGAGCTTTTTAACTCATCGGAATGCAGTGATCACCGCAGTAAAGAGGACTTCCAGGACGAGTGAATGTAATGGAAGGGAGAAAGAAGAGATATTGGAGGAAGATTTGGAGAGAAAAGTGACGTTGTGCCTCCACAACAGCTTCTGCCGAAACAGAGAATCTAATTTTGACCCCCTACCTTGTTGTAAACAAATAGTAGAAAAGCAGAAGTGTTGGAGGACTTCTTTCAACAGCGTCAGTATAGCTACCGATGTGTTGGAAGACACAGAAAATGAAAGTGCAGAGTCAATGTCGCAGGAGGAGGAGATGGAACATTGACAGAATGTCCGAAAAACAAGATGCTAAAAGAAACGAAATTAGAAGAATTTTAGAGCATCTAAATGACGATAAAGAAAAAACAAAGAAGCGAGGAAAGAAAATAAGTCAAAACTCAGAATTGTTTTGTATGTGACAGAAAAACTCAAATGAGAAACAAAGCAACCAAGTTGTAACTGAAACTGAAAGAAAACAATTAGTTGAGTTTTGAGCATTAAAAGAATTTGTTGAATTTTTAAATTTGCTTTTTGATTAATTTAGTGGCTTTAGAGACACTAAATATTTATTTAGAAAAGCTTGAGTGAAGAGTATATTTAAATATTCTAGCCTGCATGATTGTTTTTAATCAACTAGGACGACTGATCACTTTGTGGTAACATGAAAGACTTGGGTAATCTCTTGAAGAGGGAGATTATTTTAATGTTCTTTCTAACCACAGAGTTCCTTAATTTTAATATTCAGGATCAATAACAACTAAAATTTCCGAAAGGAAGAAGCATGGTAGGATACTTTTAGCTTGTTGGTTGGCAGGACTGTCCTGCAAACTAACACTTTTTAAAACTTAGGAGAAAAAATTTTAAATCAGGGCATTGACATTGGAAGTCAGAAAAAATGTTTTATCTTAGAGTCTTATCCTCGAAAGTGCAGATTAAAGAAAGAACTTGGAAGGCTATAGTGATGTAGTATGATGCCATTTATGTTCTGCAGTGAGTCGATATGACGTGGATAAAAGTAATTTCGTGCATTTTGTAAATTCTATTCAATGGCACTGTACCATTCTTACGAAGACTACGAGATTCATTGGGGACATTGACCAGGCTATCCGGGGAGTATGTGACATTCGACCAGAATTGACAAAAAGACAGTTTCGGAGTGCTGGCCGCTAGCCTGGAGAATTGGCAGTTTTAGAGGATAAACAGCGTTATTCAGACAATTAGACGAATCGTGAAGGCTAGAGGATTCAGGTATTTTCAGTTTTTAAAATTTCGAATGATGACGTCAAATTTTCTGAGAAACGTCAAAAACGGCCATTTTGGAAGAAATCCAAAAAGAAACAGAACTTGCGAACAGAAGTTGCGAAAACAACAACGACGATAGTTGCGAGAAAAACGACGACAATAAATAGAAAAATACGACAGAGTATTAAAAGAGACCGCTCCAAGTTGCAACGATTGTAACGCTTCAATCGCTGCAAAGCCATTCACACTAACGGTGAAGGGTGGAAACCAGCCTTCCAGAGAGGAAGTAAGGGTGTTGTTTACCTGGATTCAGGAGTTCGGAGGGGTCTTGAGAGTTGAACTTGAACCATTTTAAATTAACTTTTAGCTTCATGGTTATGTCCTGAATTGAATTTAATTAACATCTAGATTCATTTTCTGACAATGAGAAGCTCGGAGTTAAGGGAAAGGGTTGATCCATCTTCAATGGAGATGATGATTTTTATCTACTGAACAAAAAAATAGTAATATAGTAAATAGTAGTAGCCCTGTTTTTAGGAGTGACCTCGTGGTCTGGCGATACTGAGACCCAGCCATGAGCTCACTAATTTTGCATGTAAGTAAGTTAATTTGAGCGTTCTGGTGGAAGCCGGAGAACAGTAACGTTTTTGTCGACCCGATGCTGAGAAGACCGACAGAAGAACTGGCTTTGGTAGAGACGGTGAAAAGCATGTAGAGCTCTGTTTAGACGCTAGTCAGTCGTTTTATAGCTTAGCTTTATTTCCGTCAATATGTACTTCCGGGCGAATGTTACATAGATGGCCCACCCAGGAGCGCCATGAAAACATCTATGTAACTTTCGCGCGGAAGTGCATATCGACGGAAATTAAAGCTAAGCTATAAAACGACTGGCCGGCGTCTAAACAAAGCTCTACTTGCTTTTCACCGTCTCTACCAAAGCCAGTTCTTTTGGTGGTCTTTTCAACATCGGGTCGGCAAAAACGTTCAAAATAACTTACTTACATGCAAAATGAGTGAACTCATGGCTGGATCTCAGTATCCCCAGTCCACGATGTCACTCCTAAAAACAGGGCTACTACTATTTACTATTTTACTACTGTTTTTGTTCAGTAGATAAAAATCATCATCTCCATCGAAGATGGATCAACCCTTTCCTCTAACTCCTAGCTTCTCATCGTCAGAAAATGAATCCAGATGTTAATTAAATTCAATTCAGGACATAACCATGAAGCTAAAAGTTAGTTTAAAATGGTTCAAGTTCAAGTGCCAAGACCCCTCCGGATTCCTGAATCCGGGGAGATAACACCCTTATTTCCTCTCTGGAAGGCTGGTTTCCACCCTTCACCGTTAGTGTGAATGGCCTTGCAACGATTGTAGCGACACAATCGTTTGCAACTCGCAAGATACGACGTTTTTTTTTGTGATTTTTTCGAAAAATTTTCAGTAAACCCAAACAATTTTTTTTCTCAAAATTTGAAATGCCAACCCTGTAGTTGGCGGCTGTCAGAGTATTCTCATGATTTGCGAATCTTGCCTCCAAATATGACTACTCAATTCTTGGTAGTTTTTGAGATATGACTTTTTTGTGATTTTTTCAAAAAGTTTTCAGAAAAACAAACAGTTTTTTTTCTTCAAAAATTGAAATTTCCAACCCTTTAGTGGGGGCAGTCAGAGTACTCATAGGGGTTGCGAATCTTGCCTCCAAACATGGCTGCTCAAATTCTGGTAGTTTTCGAGATATGAGGATTTTTTAAATGATTTTTCGGATAACTTAGGTTTCGAAAAATTCTCAAAATTTAAATATCCCAACCCTGTAATTGGGTGCTGCCAGGGTACTCCCAGGAGTTGTAAATCTTGTCTGCAAATATGGGTACTCATATATTTCTTCTTTTGGAGACTTGATTTTTTCGAGATGTGGTTTCCAATGTGGTTGTGGTCCAATGTGAGCAGTTTTCAAAAATTCGAAGCACCGTAGGTGCGTTACATGCTAGTTAGGCTAATAGAAGTGACAGTTTAGTCAAAATACTAATTGGTCTGTAATTCGTGATGTCGCTGGTTGAACAAGATTCGTGCATTATGTATTATTAATTGTGATTTTACAGTACTGTGGTTTTAAAATACAGTCACCCTTTTGGCCATCTGATATATCACAGCATTTTACGTTATCACCGTCTTATATCATCGCATTCTACTTTCAAAATGTTAATTAATGGTTCATTTTTTTAAGATATAGAATGACAACAAGCGATATGACGCTTCCGAATAAAAGTAAGATTGAAAAATATTAAAAATATATTTTACGTTCGTAATTTGTTAAACTCTTTACCATTTAAAGCAGTATCATTTGAAGGCTTTTACCTGGTATTACTTTTTCAGTTCCGAGTGCTCTAACAAGATCTTATCAGAAAATATCAGAGCATTTCTCCTCCTCTCAAGAAAAGACTGAGTTCAGTCAGTCGATTTTACGTGTGTTTCATGAATTGGACTCACTGCATGTTCAGAACCTTTAGCCATGCTCAATAAAACTCACTAATTGAAGTTATTTTAGATTTATTTCAAATAGTAGTTTTGAAAAAGAACATATTAAAAAGAAAATATATCAAAAGAACTATTAAAAAAGAACATATAACAAGTTCAAGTAGCTTTATTTCTTGTTTTTGCTACAAATTTTTGACCTATAATAAATGCCCTTGATCACTGTTTTTTTTTTGCTAGAAAGAACGAATTTTTTGCTAGAAAGGCTTGAATTTTTGCATGCTCCTTTTGCTCCTATTAGATAGCGGTAGTAAGTGTTTGGTCGTCTACGAGCATGACTAGTATGCAGGAGTGGTGTAACAAAATAATAGAGCAAATGCAGGCAATAGTTGAGCCAAATCCCGCCTACAGGATGTCATCAACCTTCAAGAAGTTCGTTGCTAAAGTTAGTAGCAATACATGTTTTGGTAATTAGAGTGAATCAGGCAAGATACTTCGTTGAAATTTTTCCTCTTCATTTTTATTTTTTTGAAATAATATTTCAAAACTGATTTTCTAATCTATCTATTATATATTTAAATGCGGGCTTCACTATCTCGCCATGTTTAAGTTTTTTCAACGTATTACTTTTGCATGTTTAAGCTATATCGTATATTGCAATGGTTAAATTTTTTTTTTGATTTTCCAATTTGATTTTAGTGGTTATTTTACCGAGTTTACATTAAGCAGCCCAATATGGAATTAAGGGCTGCGAATTTGGCCTCCAATTTTGAATGCCCGAATCATTTTAGTTAACGAGATAAGACGATTTTTAAGATTCTTTCAAACATTTTCAGAAATTTCAAAAAACAAAATGATTTACCAAACTTGAACTTCCCAACCCTGTAGTTGGGTGCTATCGGAGTACTCTAAGGAGTTACAAATCTTGCCTCCAAATATGACTGTTCAAATCCTTGTAGTTTTCAAGATATGACGTTTTTTGTGAATTTTTCAAAAATTTTCAGAAACCTTAAATTATTATTATTCTTAAAAAAAAAGAAATTCCGAACCCTGTAGTTAGGTCCTGACAAAGTACTCTCAAGGATTGCGAATCTTGCCTCCAAGTATCACTGCTCAATTCTTTGTAGTTTTCGAGATGTGACGTTTTTTGTGATTTTTTTAAAATTTTCAGAAAGTTTAAATTAATTAGTTTTCAAAATTTGAATTTCCCAACTCTATAGTTCGGTGTTGTCAATGTACTCTAAAGAGTTGCAAATTTTGCAACATGGGACTGCTAAACGCGACTGCTCAAATGATTTACTTTCCGAGCTGTGACGTTTTTTGATTCTCTCAAAATTTCTCACAGAAATTCAAAAAACTTGAAACTACTATCTTGATGAAGATACAGCCTTATTGTCAGCGTACACCCAGGCGTTTCAAATCTTGCCTTTTAATATGAATGCTCAAATCCTTTTAGTTTTCGAGAAAAGACGTTTTTTTTTCTTTTTTTTTCGGGAAACTTTGGTTTAAAAAAACTGACAAAATTTTGGATTCCAAACCCTATAGTAGGGTGCTCTCAGGGACTCTCAGTGATTCCAAATCTGGCTTCCAAATTTCTGCAGAGGCCCTTTAAGTTTTCGAAATGACGCTTTTAAAATGGGAATTTAAAAAAAAATTTAAAAGTTCGAAATTACCAACCCTGTAATTGGGTGCAGTCAGAGTACACTAAAAGTTTGCAGATGTTGTTTCCAATTTATGCGGTTTTTCATGAGTTCTCAAAAAATTTCGAAGCACCGAAGGTGTGTTAAGCGCTAGTTCTTTATTATGGATTAGTAGACGTTATAATCTTATCAATTGAATAATATCAAATTATTTTTACAGAATTTTTTTGATGTACTCTTTAAAACGTCAATTTTTTTCTAACCTAATTTAGAAATATAAGCGCTTATTTGGTGGCAATTTTGCTGCATAAGATTGTTAATTTAAAAAAAAATCGTTTAGGAACGGTCGTCCGTGTTGTTGTTGTTGATTGTGGTTATGCCGATGGGAGCTCATAAAGGCATCTCTTCGCCAGCATCGTAGTTCCGTGTGGATATTGAGATAGGATGGCTAGTCCCACATCAGTTGTGCCAAAAATTTCTTGTCTTGCTGCTAATGTTCCGGGACATTCCAGTAACCAGTGTTCTAGCGTTTCCGGCGCTTCGTGACATTTCGGGCAGGTGGGGTCTTCGGCTGGTTTCATGAGGTGCCGATAGGCTGCTAACTTCAAGCTGTGGCCAGATCTCAAGCGCGCAATCATCGTAGCGTCTTTGCGGCTAAGAATAGTTTTTTCGTCTCGTGTTCTAGACAGGTTTGCATAGGTTGCAGCCGTCCGGGCATGTTGGGGGGAGGGTCTTTTGAAGGATCGTTTAATTGTACAAGTCGCACTTTTCAGAGTGATTGGTTTGGATTCGTCTGTGAGATTACATGCTTCGTTGGCTGCTCTGTCGGCCAGCTCATTACCTGGGATACCCATGTGGCCTGGAATCCATTGGATCTTGATCGGGCGCCTGAGGGAGTCCAAAGTGAGGCTGAGATCGGAAGTCTCAGGTCCGTCGCCTTCGAGAGCAGTGGCTAGGGACTGGCAGTCTGTGCAGATCATGATGACGATGTCGGGTTCGCAGTTGGAGTCTTCTATCCAGTTCAGCGCTGCTCCAAAAGCTTCTCTTTCTTCTTCAAAGGACCAGGTGATAGCCCTACCTTCGATGCTGGCGCTATGCAAAACTTTGTTGCTGACGATGCTGATCGCTTCGTCTTTCGCGTCGTCACTTCTATTCTTTCCTGCGAGGGTGGTGGAGACACTCCGTCTGTCGTAGCAGTTGCAAGGTGGTTCATTGATCTGTTGAAGAGGAAGCCTCTTCTGTAGGTCGGTGGGGAGTTGCTCTTCAAGTCTTTTGCTTTTCTCCCTCCAGCTGTCTCTGCGCAGTCTGTGGGAGGTGTTGCCTTCGAGAGCGACGTGCCGGGGGTGCTGTGGGGAAGCCTGTCAAAGGCGCGACCAGTCGTTTCGAAGTGGTCGTGTAGCTCTGGACACCGGATTCGAGGCGGAAGGCTTCCAAGGGGCAGGAGGCTGTCTGTCAAGTATTGCAGCGTAGGGCTTGGTTCTGGGCTCGATCAAGTCTCTCGAGCTGGGTGTTGGCCAGCCACGGCTGCCAGGCAGGAGCCGCTTAGTCTAGCACGCTACGCTGCGTCGCCAGAAAGAGCTTGCGAAGTGATTTCTTCTTCCAGCCCCACTGTGACCTGCTGAGGCAGGCGAGGATGCTGTTTCTCGTCTGGATCTTCGCTACCACTTTATCGACGCGAGACTGGAATGCAAGGGTTCTGCTCATATAGATCCCGAGAGTTTCGGGGCTGGGTCAAACTTGAGAGGGAGGCCGTTCATGGTGACTCTTGGTGTCCACTTCGCGTCGCCAAAGCCACTCGAGAAGAACGTCACAACGCTCTTGTCGCTCAGGATCATTTTCTTATCTCTGTACCACTCTTCAATAGTTCTGACCGCTCTTTGGATGCTGTCGCTCGCTTCTTACTTCTGATTGTTGCTAGCCCAGATGGTGAGGTCGTCTGCAAAAATGGAGTTTCTGACTTCGTCGGGGAGGTTGTCGGCAATGGTGTTGATATAGAACAGGAAAAGGTGGGGGAGGAAACGGCTCCTTGAGGCACGCCGTGGATGAGCCATCTCGTTCTGCTGAGGCTCCCGTTGAGAAGAACCTTGAACTGCCTGTTCCTCAGAAAAGCGTGGATCCAGCGCACAATCTTCAACGGAACTCCGCCGTCTACCAGGGACAGGAGCAGGTCTTCCTTCCACACGCGGTCGTACGCTCTAGACAGTTCGAGGAGCGCCATGACCGTCCTCTTTGGCTTGCGGTCTTGAAAGCCGTCACTAATGTCTTGGGTCATTCTGAGAAGTTGGTCTTCACAGCTTCTGTTCTTCCTAAAGCCTGTACAAACTGGTTAGGGCCCTATCAGCATTATACAAATACCCCGACATTAAATGAAGTCTTATATCAGCAGAAAACACATTGTTTTAATATGGGAGTTTTTTCTAACGTCCGTTTCTACCTGCGCTTATATAGCTGTAAATTATATGACTTGCATAAATTATCTTATGCATAGAATTGCGCTCCCGATGAGCTCGAAGTTCATCTTAATTCCTATGTGGCTTAATTCTTAATTTATGGCTTCATAATTTAAGGCTAGCTTTCTTGTTTTTTTGCGCTTTATTTTTGGCAGCCGTTGCTTTGTCAGCTTAAATATGGATACTGTTTCATGTACGCGGGCAAAAAATCAGATGACAGAAGCGGTCTTGTTCAACATCCCATGTCCTTCGTTGATATTTTGACTTTTTTGGAATAGTTTCGTGTTACTTATAGGCGTCTTTGAATAGTCTACTCGATGTTTTGGCATTTCAGTAGAAAACCTCGGCGTCGAAAAAAGGTCAGATGAACTTTGAACCCCAGAGTCGGTTCGTTTTTATGACTTGAGTATTTGTTATAGCTCTCACCTTCCAACCTCCCAATGTTCGGCTCACTTCGACGTCATACCAAACCGCGTTCATCACATTGACAAAAGTATCTCTAAGTTCGTTATGCCGTTTGTGGATGCTTCCGCCCTTAGCATAATATAGAGCATGCGCAATATTAAATGTTGCACTGCATGGTTAAATAATGTTTTGACCACTGTATCTATAGTAAATGCCATCTCTGAATGCGGAATCATAAGAGTCGCTGAACGTAGTTCAAAATCTTATGTTGGTCGTGATTTTTATCATTCTCTTTGTTAAAAGGAAGGCAAACTTCTCTATCGAACAGCAAAAGTGTAAAGGTCACGAAAAACTTGATCGACCTCTAGTTTCGAAAATAGAATTTAAGATATCCCAGCGAAATGAAAAAAAATTGCCTTTTGATTCAGTGTTTTCGAATGGGGTTAATTTTAAATTGTTCTAGGATTCTAAGAGCTTTAAGTCGATTTATTTTTTTCTTTGAAATTCGAAAGTTAGTATTTCTTCAAGTGTTACTTGCGTTAATTGAATTTTTGGCAACTGTCTGTTGGCTATGTTTTTGGTAGAAGTTAATTCTGCTAAGGGGTTAAGCCAAAGCCAATTAGTTGCTTCTTTTCTACATCGTGACTGTATTTAAGTTTCTACGATTTTTTTGAAAAAATTGTAACCTGAGCAGCTCTCACTGTATCCAGTTATCGTTATTTTTTTTAAAAATCATGGATAGGTTGGCATGATGGTAAATTATTCTAGCCTTTGCTGCATGTTCTAAGCATGTGAAATTCTTTTATATCTATTGTTAATTTTTTCATTGAGTCATGGCTTTCAATTTGCCTATCAAATTTGCTTCTTCGAAATTATGTGGTCTTCAAACTCAAATAAAGTTTGGCAATTTTTTTTTGGCTTTCTTCATTCTCAAAAAGTCTCATTTATGTGACGCAGGACACAGACGATAAGAATGTTCCGAAGTCCGAAGAGACCAATTTGGGGTTGTTGTTGGACCAGGGAGTGAGTCTGGTGGCACCCAGTGGAACCAACAGTGTGGCTGAAATGCAGAATTTCGCCAGCCTCGAACGTGCTCTGGGTCATGCACGCGAGCGATTCTCGCATGGTAAGGAAGAATATCTTCCCAATTGATGTCATAAAAGAAATTGGAAACGTTTTTTTTTTCAGGACAAGAGAGAATCATCTATATGGGTAAATTTTGGTAGTCATTTTTCTTTTGAGCTCGAAGAATTTTTTTGTTCAAAATTTTCAAGATTTCTGCAAAAGGCCTTAAGCTGGTTTACCAAAATTAAAATTCATTCGAGAGTGTTATTTGTCTTATCTGATCAATGCAGATCGAAAGTAGCTGGCGGGTCTACGTAGTCCATCAGTACACTTGCGAAGCTAGTTTATTAGTACGAACCTTCTTTTTTCCAACCTTATTCGCAAATGTTGGTGCGGCACTTTTATGGTTCGGCACACCAATAATGGTGGCAGGGGCGGATCTAAGATTTTCTCGAGGGGGGGGGGGAAACAGTCAAAAAAGCCGTTTTTGGGAACTTTTTGAAAAATGTTGACAAAAAAATCGCGTTTTTTTGGCGCGCGCTCCCCCTCAAAGTTAGTATATATTGGCGCCAAAGGCGCCTTTAGAAAAATTTTAGGGTCGGTCGGCCAAAAATGGATTTCTGAAAAAGTATCAAAGGGGGGACCCTTTGGGTCGGCAGGGGGTCGAATCCCTGAGGGGGGGGGGGGGGGCGTTCGCTTCCCCCCTCCTAAATCCGCCCCTGAATGGTTGTGCACCTCTGCAGCTTTTTGATAGCTTGTGCTTTGACATTCGAATAGTAATAAATTAAAACAATTGATACATTTTTAATTCATCAAATGAACCGAAAAAAGCTATTTGTTTCAAACAACATCACAATAAAAAACCTCCATTTCAAAATTTTTTTAACTGTATCTCGCAATTTTTTGAAATGCATAGTTTATACAGAATTTGGCTTTATGCTTTGCGGTTTGCTACATGCAAAGTTAGTGTTGATGCCTTCAGTTTGTAATATTCTAAATTATTAATTGCAAAATTTAGTGTAATTGTATTTGGTGCTGAATCGCATTGGCAATTTGTTAGCATATGTAGCTGCTTTACTTGTGACTAGTGTTTGTCGGTTGTTAAGCTTGAGTGGCTGAGGGGATAAATGAGAGGCTCAAATGAGAGGCTTGGCGCTTGAGAGGCTCAAAATCTCTTGATTACAGTTGGTCGCATATTCGAATCCTACACGTAGCCAAGTTTTTGCTAATTCGAGGCTTATTTCTACGTTCTCTTATTTAACTTGATAGATCTGCTTTTCAGTCGTGTTCTCGCAAGTGTTCGCGAAGCGCAGCTTCGCCTCTGTGTCTGATACGTGTTTTCGATACCTGGTGGTAATATGCTACGAGGCGATTACAGATATTTACATGACTTTTTTTTATCAGGTTCGCTTCAGCCGATCGTCGCTAAGATAGCGATCTTTATTCAGGGGTAGATACTTTTCTACTGGATACTAAATTTCGTCCAAGTGTTTTTCCACAGAAACGTTTTTTCACTGAAAAAAAATGTCTCTTTAAGGGAGAACTGAAAAGACAAATGCGTTAAAATATGAAATATTTTTATCTGTAAAAGCTAAACACCTTATTTTTTCAAAAACAGTTAGCTAACAAAGTTCGAAGCAGAAATGACTCGGAATGAACGCTGCTCGCCGCGTTGATAGTGATCAAGCCCACTTAGGTTTGTGAATTTCTATCTGTTTTCGGCAAATTGAGAATGCGGGTCACTGACACATCACTATTACTAATGAATGTTTCTAGCACTCTGCGTACCCTTAAAATCTGCTTGTTTCTTACCTTATAAACAACTAGTCTAGCTTTTGGAACCAATAAACTACTTCTGTCAGCAAAGATTGTATGAAACAAAGGTTTTTATTTGAAATCTTTACTATCAGATGCGTCTAGCTGAATGAGTGATGTTGTGTTTTGATGTTGTAGCGATCAAGTATGAGATCATAGTGGGTCTGCAGACAGTGGCTCTGCAGCTGGCGCAGTTGAAGGGCGTGAAGAAGGAGTTGGAAAACAGGAGGCTGGATGTGGACTATTACAAGGGAAGACTCAGGGCATCATCCACTGCTGTTGCCATTGAGAGCGCAAACAACTCTCTCGGTATCAGACATATTAAAGAACATTTGAATAGATTACGATTTTTCCCTTTTCGAGATGTAATTTCTTTTTCAATTCTTTTCAAATAAGTTCTACTCAAGTTCGAGGTAAACAAATCTCTTCAACGAAGAAAGCGGAAATGACGCGAAAAAAGCGACTTTAAGGTTCTAAAGTGGATTTTAATTTCAAGATTTACCAGCGAAAAAGAACAACTTTTAGGCTCGACTAAATTTTAGTTTGAAGATCTACCAGCGTAAAAAATTACCAATTGGTCCAGTTAAGCAATCGGGTACTAGACTTTTTTTCGTAAACAACTTTGTCCTCAGGTCTCACTTCTGGACTCCTTCACCTCTTCGTCCTCCTTACAAATCCTACTCCTCTCCTACTCTCGGTTGCAAATAATAAGCATAGTTGAGTATGTTATTTAAAATACCCGTCCTTTTCAAAATGTGCTTTACATGTTGGTTGTGATTTTTCCAACTCGGTCTGTTAAAATTTTATTATTTTTTACTGTGTCCTTTTTTCGGCTTATTAGGCAAGGGAAACATAATTTTATGCTCACCTCTGGATCTCACAAAATGCTAAAAATCTTAATAGAAATTATAGTTCAAGTTTTTCATGACAACAATTTTTTTCGGCTTGATAAGTTTGGGGCTATGTTATATTGGTTCATTGGCCCCTATTGCGCCTTTCGGTTGGCGAACAAAGTTTGTGTTTTGAGGGTGAGGGGGACTTAATAACTTTTTTTCAGTCCTGATTTTTTTTGTTTTTTTTTCGGCTTTGTTTTCTTTTTTTGCGGCTTAATAGGTTTCGGCCATTATTATATCGGCACATTGTTTCATTTGACGCGTGAATTTGTATGTTGATTTGAGGGTGTGGGGACTTGATTTTAAAAGAAATTTCGGCCTAAAGGATATCTACGGTATTTCCTGCTTTGTTACGGCTCGATAACTTTTCTTAGTGTCACATTCTACTGTCTTGGTTCATTTTTGTTTCAAAACTAGCCTTATCGATGGATTTAATTTTTTCGAACTTTCGATTTTTTTTGACTTAGCGGCTTTCTTGTTTTGTATCGCAAGTGGTGCGAAGCTCAGTTTTGCCTGTGTTACGCTTGCGATTAGCACTCGTTATCAAATCGGAAAATAGACTTTTTTCGTGGTAACAACTAGTTCAACAAATCAGTTGAACCCTTTACTGCTATGCTGCTGACTACTGCTAATTCACCTGCTGCTATGTTGCAGGGTGCTAGTTACTACTGTTACGTGCTATATATACAGCGCAAATTGTAAGTATAATTACGGAATTTCGGTGTTAATTTTCTGCTGATGATTTTTCGGCTTCGTGGTTGTGGACTTAGTTTCCTGGAGCTCTGTGGGTTTAGTTTCCAAGTTCTGTTGTCCACTTTGCATACAATGCTTTTATAGCTATCGTGGATCCCATGGGGGCTTTACAAGCAGTTGTGTACAAAATGAATTTTTGACCAAATTGTTTGGCTGAGTTTCTGTCGGCCTATTTACCGGTTTCGCTTAAAATTTCCGGTAGTACTTTTGAGATCGATAACACTCTGGCACCAATATTTGAATGCCCAGTCAATCGCACTTTGAAAATTTTTTGATTAATTTTAACATGAAATAAAAAACTTAATAGAAAATTCCAGTTCCTTCAATTGTAATTTCGTTCGAAATTCTGTTTGCTAAGTATTGAGCAGCACGGTTTTTTTCATCCTATAGTTGTTGTATCGCAAGTAATGCGGAGCTAAGCTTCGCCTCTATTTTAAAAAAAGTGTTCATCGTAAAGGTAGGGCGACAATTCGTAACAAGCGACAATTTGTAACAAGGTCTTGGCAAGTAGCATACGATTGCACTGCTGCGCTTACGTATGGCAAGAGAGGAATACTGCGCTTGAATCAGTGTTCCCCACATAATCCACTCTCACGATTTGTTGCTTGTTACAAATTTTAACTTGTTACGAATTCACGCCTGTTACGAATATTCGCCTCACGCATGTTGTTGTTGTTGTTGATGGAGCTCGTCATAAATGATATGAGGGACGTAAACGTCCTGTTCGGCCAATAAACATTAAAACTTTATCCGGATTTGTTTGCAAAACTGAGATAATGGGGTTTGAGCCCAAAGTTGACATTCTTTCTTCATTCCATTTATCGCATTTCAGGATGAAATGCTCTGTGTCTTCATCTTCTTCACTGTCACACTGACGGCACTGCGGAGATTCAATACGACCAAAGAGATGCTCAGTTTTAGCTAGGTTACTACATCGATTCACCCGGAGCCTATGCAACAAAACTTCCTCTTCTCTTGAACGGTTAGTTGAATGCTCCAAAGCCATGCCATTGCAAATTCGTCTGTGTAAGTGATCTTCATCCACTTTTTGCCGGTAATCTTCTAGTGTCACTTCTTCTCTATTCGTCAGAATAAACTCTTTCGTACTGAGATTTTCTGGTTTATCTTGGATCATCTTTCTAGCGGTAACTCTCCAGTCCGGACGAAATTTGCTATCCCCTCTTGCTTTCAGTCTCTGAGGCGGGCCGTCATCTGTCAAAAGATGCAGATGATGATCTATCGGGAACCGGAGGAACTTACTGTACAAAATGGCTGCCTTTTCGTCGCTGTATTGCTTCAACGAAGAAAGCCTTGCCTCAGCGCGAGTAGCGACGGCATTGGAACTTGCTGGCGTGCCACAAATAATTCTTGCTGCTCTGTTGTTGCATGCCTCCAGTTTATTCCAATTCGAGTCCGAGAGAAAAGAACCCCAAACTTCACTGGCGTAAAGTGCTCCTGGCTTTACATAGGCATTATACAATCTTCTAAGGTCAGTGGATGTCAGACCCCAGTTCTTTCCTGACAAACTAGAAAGCAGTTGTGTCCTTTTCCTCATCTTCTTCACCATGATGTTTGTGTGTTCGGAAAACGTCAACTGTGTATCAATGTTGACACCCAGAATCTTGATATGCTTGTTGAAAGGAACTTGTGTGTTCTCCAGAAGAAGAGCTGGCTGTGCTTTGCCTGCCGTCTCTCTCGGGTCCAGGCTGATCACTAACCCCTCAGTCTTCGACGGTTCAATGAGCATATAATGATCACTCGCCCAAGAACTGACGCTTTCCAGAGCTGGTTGCATTCTAGCTGCTGCTGAATCAGGAGAAACATCCTCATTATAAAGCGAGTAATCATCCGCAAATTGGGCACTTTTCGTGTCTGGAGCATTCTGAGAAATCCTTGTAGGCAAACTTGCCGTGGCAAGACAAAAAAGCAAAGGGGACAGAGGTGAGCCTTGGGGAACTCCCTGCTGAAACACCTTATACTTGGAAAGACAACTGTTCCATCTGACACACGCTCTTCTGTCGCTAAGAAACGACTTGATCTACCGCAGGCAAGTAGGATGAAGGCCAGCTTTCGCTAAGTCTCTAAGAAGACCACCACGCCACACCCTATCAAACGCTCCTTTGAAGTCAACTGCCGTGATCACTGTTCGCTTCTTCATCTGTAGGTTGTCGAATGCCTTTTGGCTGAGATTGGCAAGAACATCTGTTGTGGATCGTTTGGCACGAAATCCTGACTGACAATCTGGAATCATGTGAGTACTCTCGGCCCAATGACGAACGCGGGATTCCATCATAGACTCCAGAACTTTGGCAATACACGGCAACAGAGAAACGGGCCTATAACTCTTTATCTGAGAAGGCGGTTTACCATTCTTCAAAATTGGCACAATGACTGCACGTTTCCAGCAATCTAGAACTTTTCCTAGACGTAAGCTCTCATTGAAGACACGAAGCAGAAACGAGATGCAATTCTCTGGCAAGTGCTTGATCATCTGGGGAACAACTCCATCTGGGCCGGCAGCTCCATTCTTCATCTTCTGTAAAGCTCTTGCTAACTCGTCTTCGGTGAAACTGTCACCCAGCTCACCTTCCGAAGTTTCTTTCAGACTTTCTCTAGTCGCTAGGTAAGCTTCCTTGGAGTCCTCTCTAGTGATCTGGACCTTGCTGGCTGCGGCATACGTTTTCACTGCAAGTTCCGCTTTCGACTTGTCAGTGACAGCGGTCTTGTCCCCTGCACACACTGGATTGTCTGGCAATCCCAGTTTCTTCCTGCCATCCATACTTTGAAGCGTGCGCCAGACCTTGGTACTAGGAGTCGCTGGAGACAACGTGTCAACAAACTCCCGCCAACTACGTCGTTTTTCTTCTCTGATGGTATCAGCAAACATCTTCTTCGCGTTCTTGTACATTTCCACATTTTCTTCGCAAGGGCTCCTCCTCAAGAAACTGAAAGCATCCTTCATAGACCTCTTCGCGCTCTCACAGAGACTAGACCACCAAGGTTTCCTGTTGCCACCAACCTTAGTGAAGGGAGTTGACTCCTTAGCTGCCTTCTGCATCGTCTCGATCAGGACCTTGTAATTCTTCTCCAGTGACATATCTTCATTCCACTCAGACAAACTCCTGTGACACACACTGCTGTACTTTTCGCCTCACGCATCATAAAATATCTTAAATAGCTTCAATAAAATGCAGTTTTTCTTCGAAAGAGTTATAAAAATCATATTTTTTCCCTAAGTTAGTTGAAAATTTTCCAACTGTTTGTTTGCAATCTTTTGGCTGGAAGTTGCTATTAATTTTATATGAAACTTCCATCGATCTAAATAAGAGTTTTTCTGTAAAGTTCTGCGAAAAAATTTCTCATTTATGTATTTGCCCATTTTCCGTGCAACATGTTCACGGTGAGGCACGTCATGCCTTGAATGAAATCCAATGTGAATTTTAGATGAGGCAACTGATGCTCTGACTGTGGCGATGGAGGACTTCGAACGACAAGCCAAGTCCAAACTGCCGGTGATGCAGGCGGAAATTAGCAACATGACTCACGAGTTCATGAAGCTGCAGCAGAAGTACTTCACAGAGTCACAGACCGCTCTAACCAAAATGGAGGAAAACAACAACAGTCGGGATGACATCGCCGAAAGCCGAAGTGGAAAAACGAATGGAGGTTAGGGCAACCAAATCATTACTCAAAATGTGAATAATTCTCTTTTTAGCTCTTAATTGAGACTAATAGTTCATTCGAGTGGTGTTGTTCTGAGCAACGGTATCACTTTTTTGTCAAACAGCCTGAATTTTTTTTGTAATAGCGCTTTTGGTATACGAGCAAGAAGACATTTCACAGGCTTACGAAGATCAAGAAGTTTGATAAATATATGCCTCTTCGAAACAATAGCTAACTTAGACATGGATAGCGGATAGCCAGTAACTGTGCAAGTAGCCCAGAATTTTCCGACCATAGTCTTTAAAAAACTACAAAAAAGTTTTTTTCAAATTGTACTTTTTTGCGTGGTGCGATAAAAGGATCTGACGTGAAACTATAATTTAGTCTTATTTTACAGTCATAGTTATCGCTCGACCCATTACGATAATTTTTTGTGGTACCTGATTTTCGTTGAAAACAAAAAGATTATACAATCTTGCTCGTTCGCTTTATTCGCTCGAATTTAGACGAAAAATCAAAAATTTCTAACCGGTTTTTCTCGACACTGGGAAAACTTTTTCGAAAGTTATAATGTCGTTCGAATCACGACTGAAAGGGATTTAATAGCTGATTTTGCCACGAAAATAAAAAAGAAAAATAAACTAAAGCACACCCAAATACAAAGTTCCTACCCATTTTTCAAATGGTCGGAACAAAATCTGGAATAAGGAATAACTGAATGCATGGTCAATATGAGGACATTTGGTCGCCTTAATTTTTTTCATAGTGAACAAGATCGAAGAGGAGAGTGCAGTAGCATCTACATCTTCCTTCAGTATCTAATGAAACAGTCATCATCATCAGCGTCAGTATTGAACTTAGTGCCATTAGTTGATCAATGCAAATGGTGCCTTAAGACTCAATTGTTCGTTAGAATTTTAATTTCGTTATTTGAGTTAATTTTGTACTGCTTTTGTTTTGATTGCCTAAGCTGTCTCTCAGTGGTTGTCTTCACGACTGATTGAGAGTAATGAACGTAGTGAAGACTCTTTTTTAGGTCTTGGTGATTTTTTCGGTTTTTTTCCAGGAAAAAGCCTTAATGCTCTAATAACTACAGATGTGTATTCATACATATTAATGCATTTATGTATTCACTTAGGTATATTTGCACTTTTTGTGTTCAATTGAAATTCATCTGCTGAAAGTTACGTAAATAGCGCTCTCCAAATTCAAACGTGGAAATGGTGCGATAAAATGTGAACAATTTTTAGTTTCGAAAGTGGGATTTAATTTTTAGATTTCCAGCGGAGTACTAAGTTTACCTTTTGATCCAGTTTTCTCAAGTTGGGTTACTGTTATCAAAAAAGCGCCAATCATAATTTGTTCTAGAAATTCAAAGAGCTTAAAGGGCATCTATTTTTTTTTAAGTTAGATTTTTTCAACAAAGTCAGTGTTTTTTTTTCTGTTTGATGCATCACATGTTTCGCGAAGCGTAGGTGCGATTCTGTATATACGCGTGCATGCACATCAAACCAGGCAGACAAGAATTTTTTGGTAAATCGTATCTATAATTAAGCTTGTATGGTTATTGATTTGAAATGCTAAAAACCAGACATTATTCATAATGAAATGAATAATGGGGAAAAACAAAGTTCTGCAACCTTGTCAATATCTCAAAAACCTGTAGGTTTTGGATGGAATTTTTCGGAACTAGATATGGCTACATCTGATCAAACTTCTTTTATAAAAGCAGGGTTTTTGTGATATGTATATATTTTTTTAAAATTTGGATTCTAGAGTTTAAGAGACTAGATTGTCAAATTATCAGACTATATTCTGGATGGAAAATTTGGAGGGTATTTTTGTCGGAATGGAATCGCAACTCACAAAGTGTCAGTCTACTATGTACCTTTCAGATTAGTTTTGAGATGCGAAACCGCGCCTTTTCCAGGATTCTATCGAGAAAGGCATCTAACATAACCATGTTGCCCGAAACACATCGTATGTTGAAAGAAACGCTGGTAGCTTTCACAAACGAACAACTCATTCCAAATGCACGAACATTTGATAAATTCAGCCTGTTTCCCCGTGATCAAATCGAACAACTGGGCAAAATGGGAATATTGTCTTTGAACATGCCATCATCATTAGGAGGTGCTGCGTTCGACTACTTAGCGTACGCATTAGCAGTTGAAGAAATTAGCCGAGGATGTGCTTCAACGGGCGTAATTGTAAGCGTCAACAATTCTTTGTATCTAGGGCCTATTTTGAAGTTCGGAAATGATGCACAGAAAAAGGAATGGATTGAACCTTTTTGCGACGGAACTAGACTTGGATGTTTTGCGTTGAGTGAACCAGGAAATGGAAGTGACGCGGGCGCTGCGTCATGCACCGCCAAAGAAGAGTCAGATTGTTATGTGCTAAATGGAACTAAAGCCTGGATCACAAATGGCTTAGAAGCAGAGGCTACTATTGTTTTCGCCACAACAGATAAACATGCCAAACATAAAGGCATCAGTGCGTTTTTGGTGCCCAAACCATATGAAGGTCTAAGTTTGGGTAAAAAAGAAGATAAACTGGGAATCAGGGCTTCTTCTACGTGTAATATCATCCTAGAAAACTGCAGAATTCCAAAAGAAAATTTACTGGGAAAACCAGGCGAGGGTTTTAAAATTGCGATGGCAACTTTGGACTCAGGCAGAATCGGAATAGCTTCGCAAGCTCTCGGAATTGCTCAGGCTTCAATTGATTGTGCAGTTGATTACGCCATGCAGCGAAAGAGCTTCGGCAGCCCAATCAGCAATCTACAGTCAATTCAAATTAAACTTGCAGACATGGAAACTAGGTTACAGAGTGCGAGATTGTTAACGTGGCATGCGGCTCAATTGCAAAGTGCAGGAGAAAAATTCACTAAAGAGGCTGCAATGGCTAAATTGGCAGCATCAGAAGCGGCTACTTTTTGTGCTCATCAGGCGATCCAGGTGCTCGGTGGCATGGGATTTGTGACGGACATGCCGGCCGAGAGACATTACAGAGATGCGAGAATCACTGAAATATACGAAGGCACTAGTGAGATACAAAAGCTAGTTATTGCTGGCAATCTAATTAAAGAATATTAGTCGAAATTAGTAATCACAGAAAACTATTTAATCGTAATCAAATGTTTCTGAGTTATTTTCTTTTAGGTTAGTCAGGATTCTTGAGTCAGTTTTTTAAATTGGTAAGATTTTTTGACTCATGTTGAATCATGTTTTCAAGCAATTAAAGCAGGGTTACCTTGCGGCTATGTCATGGAAGTGCCATGGTTGAAAGTTGTCGTTTTCGTGAAGAAATTTAGTATCGTTTAAGTTCAAAGAAGTATCGATGAAAGAATTTATGGCTATTTCGTAGTGTTCATTTTGAAAGTGTTCTTTTATTGCAGTATGTGCATTAGATAAATAACCAGCTATTAAAAATAACGAATGCTAAGGATATTAACACAGACTCTTATATTAAAAGTACCACTTTAGCTTCAAGGTATCTTGGATCTGTAGCGTAAAGATAGGGAAGGAGACCCGGCAACAAAATAAGAGGATTCGAGCCTGTGCAGGGTGGTCGGATGTTTTTAATAAACTTTTTCCTATAGTAGTTAAAATGCGTGCGCTCTATAAATTGAGGCGTGTTACTTGGTAAATTTCTTTTTTAAATTGACTGCTAATGCTTCATAATTGGCTTCCGTCACTTAGCAATTATGTAGACTCATAATTGGCGCGCGTATTTTAAGAAATTATGAAGACTCAAAGTTTCACTCGTTCATTTTTTCTCTGTAGCGTTTATGGTCATTATTTTGCTTGTGTATGCGAAGTGCAAGTTCGCCTCTACATAAACTAAGTTTGTCCAAACAGCGAAAAATTCAAATATGTTCAAGTGTCAATGACTTTTCGAAGACACGCATTTAGGCGCTTTGGTTCTTTTCTTCGATTTTTTGTCAATTGTGAGAGCTTTTGTATTTGTAATCGAGATTAATACTTTTTCCTATACAATTGTTCGTTCAAATTTATCAGAAATTGTTAATGCTGTTTTTACCTTTTAGCTAAGTAAGGGTGTTGCAACCGGTTACTTTACTTTATTTTACCCGTAAATGATTTTGCTCCCTCGATTTTGCTTGTAGAAATGGTACACATGTTTGAATTTACTCCACAATAAACTAAATTCAATTAACCATCTGGCGTAGAAGTTAAGTAACTAAAGACGACAAAGGCTATAGTTTGAACCCGGCCGGAACCATTTTTTTCGAGCTAGAATATTGTTGCCTTTTCGGATTATCGTCCGTCTGTTTTTTTTGTCGGCTGAGTTGCCGTAGCCCATTATTTTGAAAGTTCAGCTCCCTTGCAATTTATTGAATGGAGTTTCTAAGTCCCCATTGGCAGATGTTGGAAATATTTTTAGTTCATCGCAGGTTGTAAATATATTTTTTTTCAAATAATTTTTTTTTGAAAATTTCGTGGTTATCGTCCTAATTTCCATCGGCTAATTTTAGGCTTTTTAAATTGCAATTTTCATTAATTGGTACACTTAAGTAGCCGAACTTCCAAAGAATTTGTCAAAAGTTTAAATTGTCTTTACTATAATTGAAAGTTGTTTTGTAATTTAAAAAATTCTGATTTTCAATTCTTTTTTCATCATTCAATTTTTTCGGATTTTGATATATGGGCTTGATTACCTTAAATTGCGCTGTTTCGAAGCGGAGTTATTTTGTAATTCGTTTGATAAAAACAAGTGTTTTGGAAATCTATGGGAAGTAATTTTTAGAAGCTTAACATTTGGTCATTTTTCTCAGGAAACTTAGTTTTTCTCAAAAACTACTTCACCAATTTTAAAAAGTTTTACTAATGGAAGGACCGCCTACTCCCCTGTGTGACCCTATATGCAAGCGGCTATGGCTATTTTTTTAAACAAAAACTGATGGTCCTCGGATAAGTCAAATATTGCATTTTCGACCGTTTTTGAAATTTTTGAAAATCATCTCTTGCAAACCAGGCGAATGTGATATCAAGGTTTTAATAAATTCAACAGGTTCATGAATCTCCTCTGCATTAGCCTCTATGCTCATTTTTTTCCAAAAAAGTTATGGCCTTTGAAAAATTCAAATCTTTCATTTTGTGAATTTTTTTTTAATTAACTTTTTGACATTTCTCGAAAACTAACGTCCCAAAAGTTCTCTTCCTCGGACAAGTCAATTTTTTGGCCGTTTTTTGATTTTTTTTTTCGATAATTGCTCCCCCATGTATGATGTTTTAGGTTCAAACGAAAAAAATTTTTGTGTGAAGCTCCCCATGCTCCAGCGGCTACGCCCAAATTTTCTCCCACAAAAAGTAGTGGTCCTCGGAAAAGTCAAATATTTGACTTTTTAACCGTTTTTTGAAACTTTTTGTCTATCCTCAAGAACAACGTGGCCGAATCTGGTATCAAGGTTTTAATCGAGGCAGCATGTTGTGAAAAGTTTTCATGCATTAGCTGCTATGCTTTAAAAATTGTACGAAAAATGTTATGTCTTCGAGAAAAATCCAAATTCTCAAAAAATTTTCAGTACTATTTTAAAGAAACAACTGATGTTTTGGGTGAAGCGCAAATTTTGAAATCACTTTTTTCGTGCCGCATCAGTTTGAGTGCAAACGTTACTTATCGGACCGAATTTGAATTTCAAGGTTGTCTGAAAAAACGAAATTGCATGCAAAATTTTTCAAAATGGTACGGTTGCTCGTTTTAATTAATTCTGTCTGTCCGAACTTTTGTGCAACTCTCAATAACAAGTTTATCGGACAACGTCTTAATTTTTTGAAAGAGTTCTGACCTTGAGACAGTGAAATGGGCGTTCAAGCTGCAATCGAACTTTAGAAACTGCATTGAACTGTTGAAACAGCAATGCAAAATAATTGCGCTCTTTCGGAGGAGAATTTCATTTTTGCTAAATTTCAAGAGCACGATTAAAAAACTTTCTCATTCAACAACTTTTTGCCATATTGTTTTTCAGAGAAAAAGAACACAAATTGCCGTCAAAAAGGCAAACGCGAAATTCCAGAGAAGAGTTTCAATTTAGTTTAAATTTGAAAGTCGGAAATATTTCAGGAATTTAATACGTTGTACCGATAATTTTTTAAAAGCTATATTTCATTGCCCTTTCATGGTCTCAAGGTCAAAATTATTTTCAAAAGTCATCCAGTATTTTGTTGAAAATAAAATTTCAATGCTTCAGCTAGCAAGGTAAAAGACATTTATTAAGAGTAATGAACGTTGTGAAGACTCTTATATAGGTCTTCCTTTTTTGTTTTTTTTTTCAGGAAAAAATATTAATGCACTTAGGTATAATGCACTTTTTGAGTTCAATTGAATTTCATCTGCTGAAAGTGACGTAAATAGCAATCTCCAAACATGAACGTGGAAATGGCGCGCAAAAAGTGAACGATTTCTAGTTTCGAAAGTGGAATATATTTGTAAGATTTCCCAGGGAATAAAAACTTTACCTATTGATCCAGTTTTCTCACTTTGAGTTCATGTTATCAAAAAAGTGCTTATCATAAATTGTTCTATAAATGCAAAGAGCTTAAAGGGCATCTATTTTTTATTTGAAATTTGAAAGTTGAGATTTTTCAAGAAAGTCAGTGTTTTTTTTTGTTTACTTGCGTTCATTACTCTTTTCCAATCTTCGATTGGCTATGTTTTTATGTCGCATTTTCTTTTTCATTCAATGTAAATGGTACATTTCAGTTCTGAAAATGTTTGGCGAACTAAGAAGGGCAGCATTATTTAGTTGCAGAATTTGCTTGAGGCGACAAATTTCGAAGGATCACTTCTATTCGCCTCAAATGGCTGTTTCAAAAACTCAAGATGCCATAATTTTCTATCACCCAGATCAGAATCTTAAGTACAAACATACGAGGCCATTTCCGTCTGAGGGAATTTCGGTATTGATTTTGAAACCAACGAACGAGTCCACTGTTCTCTCAATGAAAAGCGAAGAGATTGAACTACTTGATTCAAAGCCACCCAGTGTGTTTAAAATAGCGAAAAAGTTCAAGCTCATGCCCAGAAATGTGCACAGAGCACGATATAGAATCAAGAGAAAACTTCCTGGTTTTATTGACGAGGATGAAAGACCTCTGATGTGAAAACTGCCTCTTAAGTGAATTCTTGTTGGTTCAAATGAGAATTGAATATTCGTGTAAATTCAAGCTTTATTATGTTCCGAAACCTCAACGAATAGGAAGGAACTATGGCCAAGGATTTAATAAGTTCAACAGGTTTATGAATCTCCCCTGCATTAGCGGCTATGATCATTTTTTCAACAATAAATTGTGGCCTTCGAAAAAGTCAAGTATTTGTTTTTTTGAAAGTTTTCTTTTATAAACTTTTGACTTTTTTTTCGAAAACTAACGTCCCAAAAGTTCCTCTTCCTCGGACAAGTCAACTTTTTAGCCGTTTTTTGATTTTTTTTTTCGAAAATTGCCCTCCCATATTTGATATTTTAGGTTCAAACGAAAGAAATTTTTGTGTGAAGCTCCCCATGCTCAAGCGGCTACGCCCAAATTTTCTCCCACAAAAAGTTATAGTCCTCGGAAAAGTCAAATATTTGATTTTTTAACTGTTTTTTGAAACTTGTCTCTCCTCAAGAACTATGTGGCCGAATCTGGTATCCAGATTCTAATCGAGGCAGCACGTTGTGAGAAGCTTTCATGCATTAGCTGCTATGCTTTAAAAATTGTACGAAAAATGTTATGTCTTCGAGAAAAATTAGCTGCGGTTTTGAATTTTGAAATTAACTGTTTCATTCCGCATCAGTACATCATATTCAAAGTTTATCAAACAAGTGACTAAAGGTTTAGCTGGCCACTAGTACTTTGTGCGTTTAAGGAGGTAAAAACTTCGAGTTTCAAAATCTTGCTACTTCAAACTTTTTATGACGGCATTTTTGGCTCTTTTCCAGTTCCCCCCTTTTCAAAATACCGAGCTTTATGTTTGTTTTGCGTGTTATTACGGCTAAATGCATGATTTTACGCTGTAAAGTATGAAGAAGAAATCTGTTCTGAATTGTCGATTTGTTCACCACGCCAAATTGCATTGCATTGTGGCAACGTTAAATAGACTTTTCAAAATTGAATTTGAAAGGGGGGGAACTGGAAAAGAGCCGCATTTTT